CAAGTCACTTGGAAAGGAACAAACCTTCCATACGGACTAATGTCACACCAAGGGTTAGGATCAGGTATTTGAACAGAGCAAATAGTGTAAGTGATGGCCATGTTATTTTAGCTTTGAAATATGCTGAAACCAGCAAGGATCACAGTAATGTTTTGTAGAAAATCAAAAAGAAAGTAAATGTGAGACCTGATTCGACATATGTACTATTATAACGCCGACGAGGTTCTGGAGTCTTCAATCATTTATTCAACACTTAATTTTCATACAATTTTACCCATATTTTTACTCTAATTTTCCGTACTGATCACGCGTGTAATTATGTTCTTTTTATTGTTTATGGCGTGATTTCCAGAAACTTTCCATTGTCATGTTTACTTTACCATAGAACATTCCCTTATTAGGTAATGTCTAAGAACCTTGTTTTCAACTAAATATATATTATAATACTATTTGCATTACTCATACTTGAATCATGTCCAAAACTTAGTTATCATGTGATAAACAGTTGATCAAAATTAACATCTGTTATGAAATTGACCAATCACATTAAATGTTATTGACTTGGACCTTTTCCATCTTCTTCTGACACTAAAAACATGTTCTACACTTGTTGACACTCGATGAAGCTTAATTTGCACTCAATATCACTCTAACTTTTCATCTATTTGATTTCCCTTTTATTACTAATTGTAATGAGTGTAAGGGTAAGTAATTAACTTTACAACATACACCCTTTCTTCAAAAGAATTCGTCCTCGAATTCTAAAACTTTACAACATACACTCCTTTTTGATTTTTTTTAAAGCAAAGCATATACTGAATAACATAAAATTCGCAAATCATTTAATCATAAACTCGCCATATTATCTTAATGAACTAAAAATATACTTGACATTAATTTGTTCCATGCATCAATGTTCAATGTATTTACAAACAGGACATTGTGTCATAACATTTATTGTAAGAACACAATTATTGTCATTTCTTGTTATCTTAATAATACGTCGTCTAAATCTATTATATGATATAACTTTATCCTTATTCAGTAGTAATTCAGTATAATATTTAACAGCAATATTTAAACGTCGTAGTAATAATATGCTAACTTTGACTAAATGAGTAACATTCCATGCATAATATATTGCTTGAATAATACATTTACCAATACCTGATGGTATTTGATGCAACATATAAACTATGTAATCTTCTGATATCATCATATAATGAGCAGAACCTATTAATTTTACAAAGTCCAATTGCTCATCTATAGAATTAAATTTTCCACAAAACATCAGTAAAATTGATTCGTTTATCACCTCAGAAGGAAATTTTATTTGAAAATTAGGTTCTCTTTTCTGTTTAAAATACAATTCATTTATGTATATTGAATGTTTATATGAACGTAAATTCTCAAAAAATTTAAAAGATAAGCTGACAATTCTGTCATCTATGTAAATATTATATACAAATTCGTCAGAATCTGAAAAAAAAATAGAACATATTATAATTCATTCTAATTGATTAACAAATGTTTAATATCAATATTAAATACTTAACAATTGAAATAAAATATACTAATTATAATGACTACATTTTACATAATATATTATAGATAACTAAAATCAATATGTTATAACTCAAATAAAATAGTGAATGATTTTAATAATAAGTATTATAATATTACATAATAGTAGTAATCTTCAAGAATCAAATTGAAAATAACTTTGTGCATTTCTCAAAGTCATTATCATGATAATAATACATATATCAGTCTTTGATATCAAATTAACAATCAAGAAAATTCAATCTTCAAGTCATGGAAATGTCATTTTATGTTTGTACACACATCTTCGTGTTATAACAGTTCACTCGCAAAAATCATTGTATTGTGTTGTATTACTAGACAAGAGTAGCAAGTCATGCCAAGTTTTGATCAAAATCATTCTATATTGTGCTCAAATGTCTCGAACTGAACATAGAAAAGTGCATTAGCATGTTTAATACACAAAAACGCATAATATTCGCTTTTAAGTAATCTCCTTAAGCGAAATGCTGTAAACGTTTTTAACGGGATAGCTTCTTCCAAAATAATGGTCTTTCGATTTATGAGGTTTGTAATTTGCAAACCATGCCAATTTATCATCAAATATGGTCTGTAAATTCCTTCAACTCTTAAAATATCAAACGAAAAATGTCCAAAAATGTCCAACAGTACATTTTATGTACACTGTACTTGAAGTAGAAAATTGAGAGTGATCATAGCATTTTAATGTATTTTAGAAAAATAGAAAGTGAAATTGAATATTAACTAAGCTGTGTGTCATGAAATGAGATCAGTATTCTGGTGAAGTGACTTTTGTATATAATGAACAGAGTAGCTGCAATACCGGAATAATGCACTATTTAAAGGGTGCTCTTTTACGGAGCTTTGTTAGTATCATATTAACTTTTTTTTATTTTCATTTAAGTTTTATGTTATGGAATTTTCACCGCGGTGAAAATTATTTCTACCGCGGTGAAAAATAATTTACACCGCGGTGGAAAATAATTTACACCAGGGTGGAAAATAATTTTCACCGCGGTGGTAATTCCTGGCCATCTCGGCCCGGGTAATGTATACATGTAGGTTATACGAATCCAATATTTACCAGATGTCTGGAAAGGACGTTGATAAAGACAAGCACATGCACATGCACGCGGTTTAACCGTCTATGTGCCAATCATCCCAGGAATCTGGAGGAAGCGGGCAGTATTCGATAGATTAAAAATCACCGAAATGCTGCAATGTTGTTCGTGGCTTTTCCCTTTATAATAACTTGCGTATTCTTGGGAATATTGGTAGAAAGAAACCTTTCTGAAGAAGCCGAGATTACATCTATTAAGATAAGATCTAAGAAACACATCACAAAAAAATATTTAAAAATACATTGTCCAAAAATAATGTTAAGTATTTAGTAATAACAATGGGATTCCCTTTGCATAAAACTGCAAGCGGGACTTTTAATTATATAGGTGGTAAATATAGATGGGAAACGGCAGTGGCCCCACGAACAGATCCACCAACCTTGTGTGTATGTAACAATAGCATGCACCGTGACGGAATCTGGCAAATGTAAGGTTCTCATTACCTATTCATCACCCGGGCCGAGATGGCCAGGAATTACCACCGCGGTGAAAATTAATTCCCACCGCGGTGTAAATTATTTTCACCGTGGTGAAAATTATTTTCACCACGGTAGAAATAATTTTCACCGCGGTGAAAATTCCATAAAATAAAACTTAAATGAAAATAGAAAAAAGTTAATATGATACTAACAAAGCTCCGTACTCTTTGTATTTATATTAGAAGCAGTGGTGTAAACCCGGGATCCGTAGATCTTTTGTCACGATAAATGACTGGGTAAGTCAATCCCTTTAAATGCCCTCTTGCAGTACATTAACAGGAAAACACAATAGCAATAGGTATAGATAATACAGCACAGAAGGGATCACAGATCCAGAGGGACAGACAAGATTGAGAGATTGTAAGTTTAAGGATCTGAGACAGATCACTTATCATCTTCGATAAAGTCAGGAGACAGAGCAGGACCTTATGTAAACTTTAAGTGACACAAGCTATAGATGGTATTTATTGATCATGGCATATTATCTTGTGTTAATGTAGGTATATATATATATATATATATGTATTTTAAAGAGCGGCCAGGAAATGAACCCAGTGACGGGAGAATCCAGACACAACATAGAATACATTGAAGTTTTACAGTTCATTCAATTTTACCAAGTTTAAATATAGATATAAATTCACTTTTAATTGCTGTTCAGATGTTTTATTCATGCATATTTAAGGCATTTCCAAGACTGTGCATTTTTCAAATTTAAATGATTATTTTTAGCTGTTTGATCCTTAAGCATTAAACTGAAAGTGTCATGCAGCCAATGCAGATCCAGGAGGAAGGCAGTCCAAGGATGTCAACAATGTATAATATTATTATTAACCTCAAAGTTTTGAACTTTCATCTACAAAACAAAACCCCAACTTTACTTAATAATGTTAAACAATCAATATATTGGCTCCGGTATATGCTGCTGAACCTATAGCTCGAGCTACGCTACTTGGATCACTCAGCTTTAAACACGAAACAATCTGAAAATGACAGGATAAGATTTTAACCTGAGATAAATCGGGCTGGTGCAAAGTTGCGTACGTCAGCCCTTGCCAGTGGAAGCTGATACCTTGAAATCGGGTAACTGAGTGTCTGTGTTTTGGGGTTTATGTCATGTTTTTTCTGTTGATGTCACTTTTAAGTGTCGTAACTGTTTGGGAGGCTGGAGAATGTACATATTAACATCCCATCCTCCATCTTTTGTTTAGCAGTAGGGAACTCGAGGATCAAAGTATGACCTGGCCTGTTTCACTTATGGTTTCTCACCCCTCCTCCACCCTACCCATTTAATCTGGTCTTATCGCTATTTAATTTGGCCATTTATTGGTAGATGATGGCTTATTTTAAAGAAAGGAGGTTCCGAAAAACATCCTTATGTGATTCAGTTTGCTGATATACAGTTTTAACTGTATATAATTTTTTTTTTTTAAATCCTAGCTGTTACTTATTAGGTAAATGTAGTTTTGTAGATTGTAACTTAACCCCCGTTAGATCAATCACTACATTGTACACAAAATTGTCACAAAGAAAACTTAAATAGTTGAAGAATTGTATGTACATTGAAAAATAATTAAGGCAGGTAGAGACCATGCACCCCACTAACTCTCCCAGCTATATTATTCTGCAGTGGCAACATTTGTAATCAACAGGTGCCTGACTGCTTTTGTATAAATATCAGATATTTTGATATAGATGGTTACAGCACCTTTGTATAGACTTAAGTATAGTTTTCTGTTGCTTTTAGCAGTTCATGCTAGCTGTAAAAGCAAACAGCTTTATCTTTTGATCAGCTGACTTAGTTTAAGGAAAATCATGTATACTCATAAGTGTGTCAAGGTGAAAGGCAAAGGACTGTAGCGGGGTTCATAGACAAAATCAACCTACCAGTGAATGCATGCATCCAGTTCTTTGTTGAGTCTCTCTACAGACAAGGTAACTGTCACTGCAACTCATACTTCTGGCAGGGTAAGTAAGTGCAGTCACTTTCAAAGAAATATTTTTTAAAAGGGTCTTATACAAAAATAATTTAACTATTAATAAGACAAGCAAGCAGTGTTATGTGTTGTTAGAATTGAGCTCAATCATAACCTGCAGATGATTCATCCTTGCAAAGCTATTCAGGTGAAATTTTGTGTGAGAAGAGACTGCGTGAGTGGGTCACTCAGGTTATGACATAACTATCCATTGATAATTGCAACCTTAGTATTTTTTTTTATTGAGTTTGTATGGAACAGACTGTTGATTCTAAAAAAGAATATTTGTGTTGTTAGCATGCCATGTGCACTTGGATGATGCAATGACCAGTTAGCAAAGTCACTTGGGAATGTCTTATATACCACCACTTTTTTTACACGTGTGTGTTGTATGTTTTTTACTATTGATGCCAAATGTCTGCATGCACAACATTTGTCATAGAATAATGAGGACAATCATAGCAATATTTTTTCCTGTATTTTCTCAAATTTCAGTCAAACCATCACAATTGAAATGAATGAGTGACACTGTTGAACCTCTGTCATATTTCAAAGATTCTTGACCCTTCATTTAGTACTGTCTTCCTTGCTGTTCCTCTCAACTTTTTAAGGGGTTCTAAGTATGTCAGATATTTCTTCACGCAAACATTGTAATGAAATTTGAAACTTGTTCTGTGATATGTGAGTGTTTTGTCAAACCTAATGCTCCACCTGGCTGTGTAATGACATAAGATAACCCTGCTATGTTTTCCCCCATAGAATTCTTGACAGCTGCATATTATTGGCTTTATGGATCATGTATTGAAATCGTAGATTTACTGACTGTCTTGTTTGTTTGGAAAATTATACGAGTGATGAACAATGCAATGGTCCTGTCAAAACGTTATATTTTAAAAAGTCCATTGCACAAGTCTCAAGTTTCAAAAATTATCACCATATGTGATTTTGAGATTGGTGGCAAGTTTTCATTAATCATCAGTCAGAGGGAAAAACATCCTGTTGAAGGTCCTGAAAGTATAACTGTAATCAGGTTTATATATCAGGTAATTTTCCATGATAAAAAAGGATGAGGTTACATTAAGACTTTTATTTTACAAAATGACAAAGAAATTAACGAGCGTGGTGCATTTTGTATACATTGAAACACTGTTGGAGAAAACATCTTGGTCTTGATTCAGAATAATCAGATCTCGCGCATAATATTAAACAGAATTCTAATGTTTATTTTAAACCATTTAAGTGGTACCAGGTACCTTTATTGGTTATCAGTATGAAAAGAGGTTAAATCACAAATTGACTTGCAGTCAAGTAGCAATTCAAATTTTCTATATGCTCTTAAATTTAATAATGTGATTAATATTTACAAATGTCTGAGTATACGTACCAGGCTAAATACCCCCTTAAACTGAGCTGCAATTTTTTCAAACTTCATGATTGTACATATTTCTGTCTGATGTGAGGTGGCTTCATAATTGATATAATAAGGTAGCACAATTATTGTTTTTTGCAATTCAAGAGTCTAAGATGTGCAAAAACTAATATTGTGCCATTACTGAAAATTACTAATTAATGCACCTTGATAATTTTAATGTAAAATAATGCAATTATGATTACTTGATACATAGAGGTTGTAAATGATATCCCAAAATTTATTTTTTATTGCATTTAAACCACAAAATTGATTTAAGCCATAATATAAATGCAACTGACCCTCAGGTTGTAAATGCTGGACAATGAATTCTGTTTTATTGAGTCCAGAATGTAACAATAAATGCATGTTTGGCTTTCTGTTCAACCTAGAATGAAAGGGTTCTGTATGAAATCAATTTACATAGCATGAAGTAATAATGAAAGACAGCTAAGGGGCTGAATTTCTGTAACGCTTTTGGAGGAATGAAAGCCCGTCTCCTTGAGAATTCTGATTGCATGTTATAGGTCAGCTCAAGCTGAGTAGAACTGTGGGTTTTATATATTCTACGTAACAAGTAACTGTTATACAGAGTACTAAAGGTCTGAGTCTACCTTGTATTCTCTGGCTTTAAGTCAAGTTAAGTGGTATTAGAAGGACTATAGTGTTTTAGCTCCACCTATATAAAGCTGAGCCTCCTCAGAAAAGCTTATTAGAAGCTAAATGGTGGAAGTAAGGTACAGTGTAAATGCTATGGGTGTTACAAAAACTCCCCGACAAGAATGAGTGGTAGGTACATATACATATTCATAAATATATATATATATATATATATATATATGGAATGTATTTTACATGTTGAGTAGTTAAAAAGATTATTTTACTCAGATATTTCACAAAAGGTAGAGTTAAAGGGAGGGCAATTAAGCCAAAATTGAATTTTAATTTGATTTTACAATGTTTGTATATTTATTCAATGCCATATAAAATCTAAGGACTGGCAAAGCACCTAATGTTTTAATAAAGATCTATTTACAGAACCCACTTATTAGTACCACCAGCGTGTACGCTGGCGGTACTCATGGTTTTAGTCCCGACCCGTCTCGTACAGCTCCGCCGGCTCCGCCGGCTCATGCGGCTCCGCAGGATGACGTGGGATACAAGTCACCGTTACCGCTTCTCCTCTTAGACCGCAAGGACCCGTGTCCCTATCTCTTGGATTTTGGTCACATATAATCTCAACTTGAACCCCCTGGTTTTTTTGTCTCAGTCGGTGCATTGGCCTGGGCGTGGCGCTCGTTGTAACGCACCCTTGTCAAAATTTTTGAAAATTCAATGCTAAATATCTCCCATACCGAAGGAATTATGGGAAAAATTTCTACCGATGGCTGACCGAAAGTCATATGTGGAGATTTCAAATATGCCCTTGGATTTGAACTTTGACCTTTATTTCAAGGTCAAACGGGCCAAAATTTTCTAAAAATGAGAATTTTTTGCAAAAAAATTATTATTTTATGCTGATTTTCAGAAACTTCACAGATCTAACTTATAATATTATGGACAGGTGTTACCCTTAGGGTCTTCTTTCAGCTTCGTGAGTTTGGGGTCAATCGGTGCATTTTCACGGGAGTAGCGACCATTAGATGCCAAAACTGAAAACTCTCTCAAATTCTGGAACTGTTAATGCCAGAGACCTCTTGTTTTTTGCAGTTTGTAGAGCTTGTCAAGCGCAACACTGAAGGTGGTCTGTTTATTGTTTTCGATATTTAGTGGTGAAAATAAAATGTGAAATACTACAAAATTAGCAGAGATACACCCATAGTTACTATTGAACTTGAATAGGAAGTGATATACTTGAAATCTAACTGTGACCTTGAAATTGACCTTTGACCTACTTTTCATGATGAACTGCACTTTGCAAGTTTTCTGATTTTTATATCTCCAAAACTGACAAAGATATGCCCATAGTTACTGTTGAACTCGAATAGGAAGTCATATACAGGCAATCTTACTGTTACCTTTAAATTGACCTCTGACCTACTTTTCACCATAAACTGAACTTTGCAAATTTTCTCTCGCTTATATCTCGAAAACTGGCAGAGATACGCCATTAGTTACTATTGAACTTCAATAGGAAGTCAATTTAACTGTGACCTTAAAATTGACCTTTGACCTACTTTTTACCATGAACTGAACTTTGCAAATTTTTGTTCCTTTTTATCTCCAAAACTGGCAGAGATAGGTCCATAGTTACTATTGAACTTGAATAGGAAGTCATATACTGGCAATCTAGGTGTGACCTTAAAATTGACCGCCAATGTCATTGATTGTCAGCATGGTTTAGGTTGGCAGTTGAGGTTGGTTGGTTTGGTCTGAAGTTATGCCATCAACAAGTGCCCCCAGTTGCGAATCAATGTCCACATGTCCTTACTGCAGTAAACTCTTGTTAAAAATTTATTCCTTGCTTTGCTGCAGTATTGTGTTGCAGCATAATTTTTGTATGTAGATATGTTAACAAACTTTATCAAAGTAATTTGACTAGTTTTATAATTCTGACATGGTCCAACATAACTGAAGCCAGTGTCCAGACATCACCACAACCACTGTATGCGATCTGCATGGAATTATTTACTTAGAAAAAAGAGGTATATATGTACGTGTAGTTTAGTGTAGTGCAAAAATATCTTGTTTCATATTTCTGCATCTTTTTGCATTATTTTGGCATACCCTTGCACACAGGGGTCATTGGTGATCTATATGAGCCAAAACAAAATGTGTTGAAAATATGTTGTTATGTATTCAATTCATGATTTTAAGCATAATTGACCTATAACACCTTGGGATTTCACTGAAAATAAAAGTGCAAACAGTAGTATCCCATAATTCCCGCATAAAGCTTCAAATAGCAGGCCTGAAAACTTTACTTCTCTCTCGTTTGATTATGGGCAATGAAAAGCTTTTGAGTGTGATATCCACATCTGTACAAAAGCACCTGTTGTATAACCAATATGTAAAAAAAATCTGACAATAGGTTAAGAACTCTGCACATACCAAGTCTGGTACATGCTGGTGAGTGGATTATAGGAAATCAAATTTTCTTTTGTTTCTTTGTACAGCTGTCACATTTAAATGTCGTTATCAGTGAAAACACATTCATGGAAAATGTGATAAAAAGGATTGGTTGGATATTTTTGCAATAAAAAAATCATGTTTTAATTAGGCATTCTATTTACTGATCTTTGTAACCTTGAAGTTTTTGTGGAATTTATGTTTAGACTATGTTTATGTTATTGCAGATTTGATATTTCCAGTGTATAAGTAATGGAGTTTAAGGCAGCAAGACGTTAAAACAGTTGTGAAACATTAAAGATAAAATGAGAACTTTATTATTCTTGCAATTTACAGTAGTGAAAAACAACTGAAAATGCATAGTCCTTCTAAAGAATTGCTTGACCCACTGGCAAATAAAAACAATTGAAGCCCATTTTGTTTAAAGAATAACAGCTGTCATGAAATCTGATTTTAAAATGTTTAAATGAAAACATGGATTATACAAGACAGCTTTTCAAAATAAAAAAGAGAGTTATTTGGAGTACATATGATTTGTTTAACTCAAGAAAGAAAAACATTTAATGTAATATTTTCATTAAGCACATAATTATATACCTCAGGTAACTTTAATATACTGTATTCTAGCAATACATATTCAGTATTTTCATTTGGAAAATCATTTAATTGACACAATATGAGTCCAATAGGAGAAATTAAACAAATTGGCTTTACAGTTATGGCATGGGCAATGAGAACACACAACTATGGTGCATCCTCGATGACAGATTTCCCAGAGGACCAGTATACTCAAATACATAAGAATTGCCCCTTGAATGCTAAACACTTTTTCAATTCACTCTTCAGAATATGGTCAATACTTGAGGTGGCAGCTTTCATTTTCAAGTCTAGCAACATTATAATTCTAGAGGGTCTGATGCCACTTCTAGGGGATCAAAGTGATTACATTTTTCCAATGAAGAGCTTTTCCAGAGCCTTTTGCAATTGAATTTTCACCTCATTAAGGAATGACTTCAGTATGCTTTCAAGTCACAATTCCTCAAGAGGATTGTAAAATCAATTATTTGGATTTCAAGAATGAGAAACAAGTAAGGTTCTGCCTGAAGGAAGAACAACAGTTTTCTCTATCAGAGCACTCAGGTCTGCTGTACTGTGACTGTATATGTGTCCCTTAGAAAGTATCTTTTATACACAGTGCATAAGCCAAATAGTTACTAGTACGAAGAGGTCATCACTATAATCTCAAAAGGTGACCGAGGTCCAGTGCAAGTAAAAGCCTGGTCAGAATAGTTTCAAATCACATTAATGATTTTCTTGAAGTAATTAAAATGTTTCTTGTAAGCTTTTTGACACTTTTTAGATGTACCCATCTCCAGGATTTGAACTTCTGACATGGCATTTATAAAAGAAATAGCAATGATCTTATTGCAGGAACTGTTTACCGTCTTGCATTAGTATATTGGGATAGCAAAATTGCGATGCCCCCTCTCCACCTCTCTTTAAGCCTAATGATCTGGGCAATTTCTTTGATTTTTTTCTATTATCCCTTTCACAACACCTACTATGTATCTAAGTGGGAGTTGGCCAGTTTTGGTAATTTTAATGGTTACACAATTATTATACCCATTTGAAAATGTACCAAAGTCATATTTTGTCTGTAAATCCAGCAAAGCAGTTTTACCCAATTGATACCTTAAAAACAATAAAAAAGTAAAAAAGTACCTGGGATTTCTTTCTGTGTTGAGATTTCCTTCTGAAATGTCAGGATGAAAGAAATTGCAATCTATATGATTCATGATTCTTTAAAATGAAATTATGTAATTAGAAATGTTATGGAACATCGAATCCAAGTGTAGTGATGCATAGACCAGTGATTCCTAGGAAGGAGAAAAATTTTTTTCTCAAAGAAAATTGGATTTGGTGTGAAAATCCAATATAGGATACCTAAAAGAATGTCAGGATTCAAATTATGTACATATATATTGGATTGATTTTTTGATTTGATAAATCATGGCACATGTAGAGTTGATGTAATGTAGTATGATAGAAATATTTCAGTTCTGTGCTTACGTAAATCAGTTATATCCTTAGAACACTTAATGGCAATACCATGTCCATTTTCCTGAATATTTCTTAAACAACCTTTATTGTAAAATGGTGAGAAAATATGATAAGTGCAAAAAAACATGAGATTTTTAAGACAAGGTTTTGAGGGTTTATTCTGAGTGGGTATTTACTTCATATACGTAAAAGTGACACATTATAATTGCAGGCCTGATTGGCCCTTGTTTGAGACAGAACATAAAATCCAGATCTACCAATTTACACAATTGAACAACCACGTCATCTAGAGCAGAACAAAGTCATTGGCTGTTAAATTGACAAAAGGATTTACTAATTGATCAATCTGCTCAAGAGTAGATTTTTAGTGGATTTGATAAGATCTGATATAACAGTAATTAGAGAACTTAGTCCTGGCAGCAAGTTTCCAGCTTTTGTAAGTAAAATAATTGGAGTCATATTTTATAACATTTTTAAAGAAAGCTTAGGTTTGTTTATTTATGGTGTATATCAAATCAGTCTGTCCTTTGGTAATTTTTTGTTGGTTGAATTTTTGGTGAATATTTACTTAATGCGTTAAGTCCAAGTATATCATTTCTTTTGTTGAAATTTAGACTATTGAAAACTTTTATTTGCCTCTAAAGAGTGCTCTATTGTCACCCTCATCTTTTTTTAATGAATGCAGCTTATATTATCTTTCATGGTATTGTGCTTAGAAAATCTGTTAGAGATGAATTATCTGACTTATGACAGGGTTTTGAGAATTTGTTAGTAACAAATCTTCTTGTCAATTGCTTAATTCCTATTCTTATTGAGGCCAGGTGCAAACACATGAAGTTGACAGGTGTTACAGTTTATATCATTGCCAGTGACCAACTCACTTTTCCAATATTATTTATCAAGACAATATATTAAATGTTAGCTAAAGCAGTTTTCATTGGGGTTACCTGGAAAAGACTCAGAAAAACAGGTTAGAAAAACTGGTTAGGTTAAATATTAAATGCTTGAATGGTAAATGCTTGATGTAATTTGGTCTTGTCATGTTACAAAAAATAAGTTGGTTTTATTATTGCAGTTAGACTTTCTTTTCAGATTCATTCATTCATGAAAATGGCTGCCTTAATTGCATTTTACTTTCATTGTCTTAATTAAAATTGGAACATATCATCATCTTATAGGTATACTCTCCGTGCTTGAAAATGCCTCAGAGTCATATTTTCTATGTCTACATATCCTGCAAAACTTTTTATCTTCTCCAACTTGGACCTTAGAAAGCAATATATCCCCTCAAATGAAATACCTGATGTCAATATTGCCTTCTGATAGTTTTGAATTATATAGGCAGACATGGCAGCCTAAGTGACTGGCAGACATTTAGAACTGAAATATTTAGTTAGAAATGGTATAAATCTTTTAATCCAAGTGCAGAGCCATGATTTGAGAATATGAGAAAATTGTGTTTTTCCCCCTTCCTCAGGAAAATTTAATTTAGTGGGAAAATTCTGGATAGGATACCTTTAAGTACACCTTTAAGGCCTTTCCACCTGCAAGTAATGAGTAAATAATTTGTCAGGTTGGATGCATATATTAACTGCATCTTTTATTTATGAAATCCACATTGATTGAATTTAAATACCACACACAGAATAGCCAAATAGTGCACCCCATTGGATGCCCCATTATATATTTCGATGGAATTCAATCAACTCTGATCTCAAATGAAATGTTTGGTAAATGCTGTTGTTTACTGTTACCTAATGGGGTATTGTTGTTACATTAACTAAACAAGCTCTTAGTTTGTCAAAATACTGGAAGAAAGTATATAATTTAGTGAACTGGAAAGTATTTAGATTATTACCATATAGTGCATTTTATAGTATACCAGTATCAGCTAAATTTTATGGTTAGTAGTAAGCATAACTTCAAGAGTCTGGCATACAGTATCTGTTAGATGGGAAAACTCCAGTTCAGGTGAACAAGCAGTGGTCATACATTAGGTGAGGTTTTAATAAAATGATTTTGTTTAATATTGTTTTTGACTGACATCTGTCATAACAAAAGAAAATAGATGTTGTTAAGTTCAGTGGGTACTTAAATATGGATTAGCATGCAAAGTTTGCATGTTGTTTGTTTCCATGCTGTTGAACACCACCTAACTGTAGAGAATTTGATGAATACTCATTAAATCATACATGTAAGTTTGTTTCACAATTGGTAAATATGACATTCTATTGTATCTTGGGTTATTTGTAATTTTTTTTTGCAATTGGTTTTGCTTTGATGTATAAAACATCTGAAATATTGATTTGCTGTTATGACATACATAGAGATATACTAGTGTTTCAACAGTCATTATTTGCTATCAACAGCAGATGGACTGTGATATTCAAAATTGTGATTATAGTATATAAGTCAGATTTATTTCTATTTCTTAATGTATAATAGAATTGAGAATGCATCTGATTGTAACATGATTATGTAGTTTGTTCCAACATGGGCATGTATGTTCTTGACATTGTGGAATATTGGAAGGTTTCAAGACTGTGGCCCTTGAGTATCCTGGCAGCATGCCTTCAAGGCAGTGACAGGATCTAATTACAAGGAAAAAGATGACAATCATGTATTAAATTATGAAGTAGAAACCTAGGAATATTGAATAACAATCAATGGATAATTAAGAAAGGGATTGAGATATTTTAACAAGGTCCCAGAAGGAGGAGAAACAGTAAATTAAGCAGCATTATCAATGAGTTAATTCATGAGATAATTTGCAGTGAGTGAATTAATTGAAATGTCAATTATGAACATGCAAAATGACAATTGAAACTGTTGTAAGGTAGTGTCATGAGGATTCAACATTCAATGTTATATTTGATTAATTTTTGGAAAAGAAACAAAATTGTTTGTTGTGACTTCTATGAAAAGTTTTTTTCTTGGGGGGGGGGCAGACTGATGATTTTTGTGATGGTTTCTTTTACACTGTTTTTAATGAAACGAAGCTTGAAATCTTAATTATTTTTCTTTTCAAAGTCTTGAATCAATAGCGTATTTGAAGAATAAGTCACAGGAAATTACTTGACCAGATAGTGAACATTTCTGTATTTGCTTGCTTTTTGTTTCTTTTTACTTAGACCATTACCATCAGTATACCATTTGTCAGTCACATTTACACTTCTCTCCTCTTATTGATTTTGTTCTCTTTTCATGGAAGTGTTGGTTGTAAGTGCATTGACTGAAGAGAAGACAAACTGGGAAACTAAGACACAAAAGTTGCTGAAAAGTTGAAGAGAGGTTCTTTGAAGTAAGTGCCTGGAATCTGCATTGCTAACTGGAGAAGGCTTTCTGCTGAATTGGTTGGATCTCGAGAAGCTGATATCATCGGAAGTTGGATAACTCTGGGCTGAACATAGATCAGTTGGCTTGTGAATGACTGAGGAAAATTAAAACAGGTGAGAGGGAAATGATATACTCTTCTTATATTGCATGCTCAAAATGAGAGGAAGTACAGTGTATTTACTGAAATTGATGTGACCATCCAGTAATCTGGACATATAATGGGTACATTGTAGTATAATGTTTTCATTCAGGGATAAGATTTGAAAAGGATTTATAATCATGCACAGTTATACTTTGCAGTACATCCTTGATAAGATGGTCAAGAGATATTTAAGGTCTTAAAATATTCATTATCACCCTTCAAAGGAAAAAACAAAAAGAACAGTTTTTATAGCAATATCTTTTCACCAAAAATGGGTGAAAAATAACAAAGTGTTCATCATTTCATGAGTTTAAGGAATATTGAAAATATTTTCACTTGCGTATTAATTATTTTAATGTGAAAATGAATTTGTTGTTTCCCAGAATGAGTAGAGGATTGTGCAGGATACAATGTACCTGTAGGTGTGGAGGATTACAATTAAGGGACCATTCCCACAGAAATTTGGAGCGATCTATCTTCTTGGGGAGCCTCACTTAATTGCTATCAACTTTACCGGCTGTAATTATCTTTACCCCCTATCTGATCGGTAAGTGTGACAGACATTTAAGCCGGTTAAGTTGATAGCAATTTAGTGTGACTCCCCAGGGAGTTAGACAGATCCAGATGGATCGATCTAGGCATGGGAACCCAGTGTAAGACCCCTTTTGCCAGCCAATCTAAATGTAGAACAATTATTTTGTTTAGGACTAGACTGAAATCGGCTTTAGTGATAATGTCCAAAATATCCAAACATATGTTCACACACCTTGCCTTTCCAATCTTCAAGATGTTGGGTTTTGTGTGTCATTGCGGACTATGGTTTTCTGCCAAATTTTGAACTTGGGGATCATTTTAGACCCTAACTATAATATGAGGGGGTCACTACCCATACTATTGACAATTGATGCCACTGGTTTAGAATGAAGGGCTTCTTTTTCATGAAACTATATAAAGGCCCCCAAAATTTAGAATTGCAAAAGATACATATCTGGCTTATATTTGTAACCTTAGAGTAAAATGACTATATTATAGTTACTGTTACAGCGATATAAACATACTAGTAGTCTCTTGCACTACTCATAAACAGTTATAATAGGCCTAGCTGTTATAATACTGAAAACTGCATCTAATAGGAGAACAAAAGTGGAGAGAACTGTTAACATGAATATCAAATCTGAACCAATTAAGACTGATTTTTGTTCTTAAGTGAAATAGCTAGAGCTTAGTCTTAAGTTGCAGCAGTATGATATTTGGGTTATTGAGTCTTCAAGAGGGGCATTTATTTCAGTGAAAAGCGTTCTGTTCAAGAAGTCTCACCTGAAAGAGAAGTGTAATGTGATTAGTATCCATCTGTGGAAATGCCTCCCATCAGCATGTGTGGACTAGAAGGAAAATACCAGAAATATCAGCAGCAGTATGACTGAAAGAAATCTGGAATATTGGTTCCTTGCATACTACTGCAGAAACCTTTATTACATTTGTCCAGATTTATACACATGAATCCAATAGATTTACGAACAGTATGTCACCAGTTATTACATGTTATTACATCAAACTAGGTATGTTTTGAATTGATAGAAATATAAGATTGGAAATGAGATTTGACAAGGAACACAGTGTGAAGACTTTTGTAGTATCTGGTAGCAATAACAACAGTGTTGGCAGCTGAAGTGGAACTAGAGCTGTGGTGTGCGTAAAGAGGATGTCAAGGAGAGAGCTCCAATTTTCTCACTGAGCAATTTACACCTTCACTTCTCTGGTCAAAATTGGTCATCATATCTTGCAGATATATGCACATTTATTTGATTTGGTTTTGGGTCTTTATTTTCAGAAGCTTTTTTTTTTCTTTTTGGGTAAGTTCAGCAAAGTTTCAATTTGTCTATTGGCTGGAGTACAAATTAAATCTGTGAGATCTTCACCTCAGTGACTTCTGTCTTGTTGTGTTTCATCAACTGAGAGCCCTGTGGCATTGGATCAAGAATGTCTTTTGTTCAGCCAAATAGAGGGGGCATATAATCCTTAAATGTGCTTTTTATAAATTTCCTTTGAGACCCAATATTCACAATTTTGTGTGCTTCATCTCAGTCAGTGGCCAAACATCTTAGTGTGCTTTCGCACATGTGCGGAGTGTTTAATAGAAGGTGCATGCATAACTGGCTTTGTCACTTTGACTGCCATTTCCAGTGGCTGGGAAAATTATGAGTTTAGATTAAACAGATAATGAAACTGATGCCGAGTGATATGACACTTCCTTTGTAGCATCTTAAAAGTAATTTAATTGAGTTAAAGGGATAACAACTGTTAGTTATCACCCAAAAAAAAAAAAAAAAATCCCTGGGGTCAAAACAATTTTCCCATACTTACCAATGGTTGATGAATCCATTCCTATGTTCAGAGTTAGTCAATGGTTTTCTTCTAAAAAGTATGGTTTTTGTAATAATCTCTTAAGAGTTTATTAGAGAGGCCTAGCGATCTATTAAGGTCCATGCGGGCTGATGGCAGACACAAATTCCAGAAAAACGCGATTACTGCTGTTTTGATGGTAAAATGGAATTTATTATATTTCTGTGAGTTGTTTACAATGTATTAACCATGAAATTCTGGATCTCAAAGAAAGAGTTGTTATCCTTTAAGAAATAGTGCAATTGTAATTGCGCAGTCTGATGTGAGCTGAGGTTTCTTGTCTAGGACACTAATGGTGTGATGTATATGTTTATCTGTGGGGACCTATCTGTGGTTCTTTTCCAAGTCCACATTTGAATGAATGCAGAAAAACAATAGGACATTTTTAAATATCGTATTCTTATCCGCAGTTACTGAATATTAATGCTGCAGTGACCACAAATCAATGTTACAAATCTTGTTTCAGAAGGGCTGCAATAAATCCAGAAGATATATGTATTGGTAGACAGCATTTGACGTGGAGTTTTACAGTGCTATATTAATTATTTAAATATAGAGTGCTGGGTTGGCCTTCATGGGATCTGCTTTCTAGGCTGTAAAATTATACACATGCATGCACCATGTAAGGTCCATCAGCTCAGCTACTGGTAGCTGTTACGTAAATTTATGTGAAAACTGAATGCAGCCTCTTGGGTTGCAAATATAAAAGAGCAAGTTGGCAAAGATACTCTTGAGTGCTTTACATTATGTGTGATCCAATACATGGAATTTATCAAGGTTAACACCATTAGAGGAATTTTTTCACAAATTGGAATTCTTTCTTTCTTCAGATGTCTGAAAAGCTTTTTTTGATTATTATCAGGTTCTGAATATTTGTCATATTTCAATAAAGAAAGCAATTAAAAAAAAAAAAGATACTTTCTGTAAAGAATGGACTGAACACTTTCAAAGTTTGGTGTCTTGTTTCCTTAGCTCTTGTTTCTTTTAAATTCAAACGTGATGTAAAACTGACAAAGTCAAAACAAAGCATGCAATTAGTCATTGGAACAAAAAATCCTTATACATCTATGGAGATAGATAGATATTAAAAAGTATTTGAAGTAACTTTGCCTGTGCACAATTAGGTAATTTGCACAATCCAACCAATTATTTCCACATCTTGAAAGTAGGGTACATAAACTTGGCATCAGTGATTTTGAATTCATGGGGAATTGGTATTCCTCCCCCCTTTTCCAGCCTCACACTGTCACTCAAACCATTCTAGAAGGCAAGCCACACAAGGGAGAGTGGGAGAGAGGAAAGCTTGGACAAGGGCATAGCTAAACCAGAGTTCTAGAATCTAGTGCAGGTATGATAAGATATTGATGTGCTTAATGACCTTTTTAAAAATAAGTATTGAGTAAAGCAGTCAACTAAGACTTGATAGAGACAGGTGCACTCATTGTTTTTTATAATAGGGATGCATGTTTCTCAGCTTGCACAAGCGAGCATGGGGAATTCATTCTTTAGGTAAGTTCAGCTGTATAAGTACACAGTAAGTACACCATGCTTCCTATACTAATGTTGATCTTTTAGTGAACTTTTTCTGGTTTGAATATGTTGAGGTAGAGACTAGAATCGTTCACAATTTGATAATTGATTTGGGTAGACTGGGTGCACATTGATAAATGAACAGATGCAGTTAAATGGTAATTACTTATTGGGGCTTTTGCTCATTATAGTCTGTAGGTAGATGTCAAGTATTCTAACATGAAACTATTAACGCACATAATTGTTGGTCTTCAAATCACCATGACAGTGAGGGTATTTAATAGTATTACCTGCCATGGCCAGTCCTGTTATTAAACCTCTAGGGTGATTAGGTTAAGGACTTCCAATCAATTTTTCTTGTAGAGTATTAAGTGTGTCATTCCAGCATTTCCATATTGCACATATTGTTTAGACTGGATAATGTGTGTGTGTGTACATGTTTTTTTGATACACATGGGCATTGTCCAGCACAAGATTGTTATCCTTGGAGGTTTAACGTTTCAGTTCTGCTTTTAAATGTTTGTATTGTTTTTGAACTGTGAAAGCCAAAGGGACTTCACCAGCTATGTATTAATATGATTGTTATGAGAAGTATTTCAAATTGTTATTTTATGTTACTTTCTATTTTATGAAAGCCTTTTGTTATGGCAACTTTTTTTTTTTTTTTTTTTGTAAAATTCTCTTAAGAGAATTTAACAGAGTATAGC